GTGCTTTTTGTAAATGTTGATTTCTTTTACTCTGTTTAGGCATTTTTAACAAAAAAATAAGTATATGGTAAAGAAATTTGAATTAAAAAAAATCGCGTTAAAAAATCGCGGTTCCATAAAAGGAATGATTCTCATGAAAAAATTTCACCAAATGGCGCAGCATTTGATGTCTATAGATGATTGGCACCATAGCTTTTGGAAATTTTTCAACTTTGATTACATGGTTTTTACCATCTTGACCTTTATACTTTATTTTTCTTTTTATATCTTCCATTAAACTTAATGGTATGACAATGTTGTCATTATAGTACATCGCCAAATCATATAGGACTTTTGGACGATTATCTCTCCCTCCACTATACCCTATAAAATTAAATAAAAATTACAAACAAATTAATATATAATAAAAGATCAAAAACATTTTTTATTTATTTAATATATTGATATTACATTTACTGTACAAGTTTATAAATTCTTTTGATATTCTTTTGATGGTTCCTTCTATTTCATCATCATCATTTGGTTCCATAAGTATTTGCAAAGTACTAATTTTTTCAGCAGCATTGTTGTCTACCTCCATTGATACGATATCTTCAATTGTATTGGTTGTTGGTGCACTAGATGATGATGATGATGATGATGATGATGATAGTATTTCTTTGATGTTTTTTAATAATGATTGTGCCCTATTACTATTACTTTTATCATCACTATCATCATTATCGTTATTATTATCATCATTGTCATTATTATTATCGTCATTATCATTTTCTTTTTGTCGTCAGTATCCTGTCCAGTGATTATTTTCTTTTTGATATTCAACAACCCAGTTTGGATATGTTGTAATTATAGTATTATTATCCTTTATGTCAATTTTACAATTACCAAATTTGGTTACCATTAGTATTAGCATCAACATCCGTTTGAGGTCCGTTTCCAAATCTATCTATTATATTAAAAACGTTGGGTTCACGTGAGCGTAACGTTTAGGCTGCCACGCATAAATAATGTTTTTTCAATAATGCAAACGTGTGTCACAATCTATCCATTATTGTATTGTTGGGTTACGTTTAGACGCAAATAAAGACTACCACATGCAATCTATCTATTATTGTATTGTCACACATGCAAATAAATATGTTGTGG